TATTCAGGTACACCTTGTATACTAAGTGACAAAGTGACACTCATTTATATTGAAAATATTCAAATGATGTTTTGCATGTGTATTTATGTTGAGGCTATTAAAATTTCAGCCGTATCGAAAGCTATTATGACCAATTTTTCAACTGTTTTTTTTGTGAGAATTTACCATTTCTTCAATTTTTATTCTTATTTGTACCTGAACTGTTGTAAAGTGTTTCGTATTGTTAACACTATGCTTCGAGTGCGAAGAATTCGTCGTATTCCTCAACTTAGTGATTTTAAAGAGGACGAATTGTTGGCTTACGTGAGGCAGGTTTTTCAGTTAGAGAAATTTTAAGAAGAACCAATCGATCTTTGCTTACTATTCTAAGATATCAGGCATGGACCCAAGAAGACCAAGAACACAGAGCTAGGAGCACCGGTAGTCGCAGGGGAACAACAGCGCGTGTCGACCGCCGATTAAGACTTTTGGCTCTTTGAGATCGGTTCATTTCTACTGTGGCAATTGCGAATCAGTGGTTTGAAGAACACGAAAGGATTGTTGAAATGCGCACAGTATATCGGCGAATAAGAAGTTTCGGATTTTTTTCTTACCATCCCCATTAGGTGTTGCCACTGACTCTCGAGCACTTGGGATCAACGGCGTAGTCTTCAGCGATGAATCTTGCTTTTGTTTGGGTATGCACGATGGACGAGCAAGAGTAAGAAGGCGTCGTGGTGAACGAGGAGATCCCCAGTTTGATGTGGAGAGGCATGTTCACTATACTGTTGGTTTAATGATGGGGTGCCATTGCATATGGTAGCAGGACACCTTTACTCTTTATTAGAGACAACATGACAGTTCTTCGTTACACTCGCAATGTAGTTGGAGACTCATGTCTTTCCATATCTTAAGATCATCAAAAACCCCATATTTCAACAGACTTTGGCAGCACTTAGACATGAGTCAGAAGTAGGTTGGAATGAGAAACCCCAACAGGATATAGACCACCTTATCAGAACAATGCCCAGACGTATCCACGAGTGTATAAGACATCGAGGATCTGCAAAACACTACTGAACTTCACTGGTTTCACGATCATCAAATTTCTCTGAAAACTTTCTCGTTTGTTTACTATTATCTGCCAAGTATGTAAGTAAAAAATTATTGAAACATTTTCAATATAAATGGGTGTTTTCCTTTCTTTGTCATGTAATCTTTGGATGCCCTAATGACATAAGAAAGACGAGGTACTCGTACAAACAGGTCCAGATTTTTTTTTGGTTTTGTTAATAATTCTTCGTTTCATCCATTATTGAGTTTGTCAACATTTTTGATATTCAGGTAATCGTCGGTAATATTCAGCAAAAGCATACGATATTTTTTTGTGGATTATCAGTTGTTTCATTGTGTACTAAAAAAGAAAAATCCGAGTTTTGATATTGTGTTTTAGCGTTTATGAAATGACAAACCTTTTTATCTGTATAAGAGCCATTTCTATCTGTTTAAAAAAAACTGTATAAAATCTGTTTTTCCGTTAACCAACTGTCGCACCCCTACGAACGACAACCCTCAGAAGTCGAAACTTGTACGAGCTAAGGATTAACGAGGCCTTACCTTCTAACGTGTGATTCCTAACATGGATTGCNAATTCAAGTAAGTTTTATGGGCCATTTTTTTCTCTTTTATAAGATATCTTAGATCTGCATTAAACCATTTAGGATATGTAGAAGTTTTAAACTTTTTTCGTGGAACAAACAACGACAAAGACATATTCAAAATATGGTAGAAAGATTCTAATGCTTCATTTACATTCGAGAAATTTAAACAGCTTTCCCAATCTACTCCTGCAAAATAATTATTTAAACCTATGTAATCAGCATTTCTAAAATCATTGTAAAATTTACTGTATTTCAGAGATTTTGAAGAAATTGGTACAGAAACATTGAATGTGTAACCAATATAATGGTAGCTGTTAGCTAATATATTATCTGTAGCCGAGTATATTTCCAGATCATTTAAATTAGTGAAACATAAATCCAAAAACCATTTTCTATTATTAGGAATACCGTTTTTTTGAAAAAAATTTAAATAACCATATGATTCTGCTTGTAACAAAGCATTAGATCTGACAGGACACTTTACTGTTACCCCCGAAGCATTGTTATTCCACAACTCTTCCGTCTCTACGATGGTGAAAACCTTTTGGATTTCAGTTTTATCATTTTCAATCCTTTCAGTTAAACTCGCTGATGTAGACTCAGGAACATTGTAAACCATTACATTGTTCACCTTATTCATCCTCTCATTCATTTCATCCAGCATTTCCTTCCACGAATAATTTTGATCTTTCGCTTGCTTCAACTGTTCTATCTCTTTATTCAAGATTTCAATTTGTTTATCTCTTTCTTTTGAATTTTGCTTGTTTGTCTCCTTCAGTTTATCAACTTCTACTCGTAGGTCCTCTACCATATTCTTCAATATGGGGATAAGTGAGAAACCTTTTTCACATTCATTACAAAAGAATTTCAATTTTCTGGTTTCAGTAGCCAGTTGAAGACATTGATATTGCAGAAAACTTCGAAAATATTAATGAAATATTCATTTTACTGTCAGTTGATACAGTATTGTTTGAAGTACTGGTAGTGGTATGACACTGAAACTTTCAAACCTTTTTATCTGTATAAGATCCATTTCTATCCTTTTAATATATTCCGCATAAGCATTTTTACCATCTTTTTTGAGCTCAGATCTCAGTATCCTATAATCATTAAGATATTCAACAGAGTTGAAAACATAGATGTCTTCGTGTTAACATTTCATGATCGAAATGAAATATTGCAGAAAACTTCGAAAATATTAATGAAATATTGATTTTATTGTCAGTTAATACAGTATTGTTTGAAGTACTGGTACTGGTATGACACTGAAACTTTCAAATGAATTTTCTTCACGTGTAACTAAAACTTTTTTCAACTTTACAGATTGAAAATTAATAATTTCGAAAAATAACGATTTTGAAGATTATGACAAACCTAACGTTTCTATGGTAAATAAGTATGTTGGATATAAAAATTATAGACGGAAACGTTATGTATAAAACTTTATTTAAAGCTTTAAATACATAATCTTAAAACTAGAAATGAATCAGAAGATGGAACCTATGATGATACCTGACGAATTAAATAAATTTGACATTTTCTTATGAGCCTAGAGAAGAAACTGTTAACGAACCATCTTATCGACAAAACAAAAATAAAACAAAAATACAATAAAATAAAAACAAAACGGTTTTTATAACAAAACACGATTGGTGCCTATTCGATTTCTTTGTTCGCTAAATTGAGCACACATAAATAATCTGTTATGCGAGAGCCGGTAGACCCAGTTGTTCAATGGAAAATAAAATTAAGTGTGTTTCGAACAAAAGGGCAAGCGGACCTCATCTTCAGTCATTCGGAACGTTTCGATTACCAGGATATTCAAGAACTCGATGCACTTGGTTCTGGTAATTTTTCTTGTTGCTCTGGTTTGGGTTCTTCTGGTTTGGGTTGCTCTGGTTTGGGATCTTCCAAAGGCACGGCTGGGATTTCTTCTACCTTTCCTTCAGGTTTTTTCGGTTCAGCTTCAACTGGTTTGTCTTGAGCAGGCTGAGGTTCAGCTGGTTTTTGTTCTTCGGGTTTGGGTTCCTCTGACTTGGGTTGCTCAGCCTTGGGTTCCTCAGGCTTGGGTTCTTCAGGTTGGGCATCGAGTTTACCTACTTCAGGTTTTGGCTGTTCCGGTTTTGGTTCTTCGGCTTTTGGCTCGTCAGATTTTGCCCTCTTTTCTTGCTCAGTAGGAACGGCTTTCAGTTCAATAGGTTGGACAGTCTCAGGTTGGACTAATTCTGTTTTCACAGGCTCAGCTTGAACGGGTTCGGGTACTACCTCGGCTTTTCTCAATTCTGGTACTTTTTCTTCAGCTGCTGGAACGATTTCGACTTTTTGCTCACTGGGAAGTACAATTTCTTCTTTGATTTCGGTGGCTGCTACTTCTTGAACCTCCTCAGAAGGCTTCTCTTCAGATTTCAAAGCCGGGGAAGCGGAATTCTCGTTTTTGTTTTCACTTTGTTGTTGTTCAACGACGGGTTGTTCAATAGCAATGGCTGATTTTGGAACGATTTGGACAACTTCCTCTTGAACGGACACAACTTGTTCGGGTTTCGGTTCTTCGGAAAGAGATTTCACAAGTGGCACAACTGGATCCACAGATTTTAGCACGGGCAGTGGTTCGCTTGGTTTCTCTTCTTCCTTGATTTCCTCCTTCAGCTGCTGGGGTTTGGGTTCATCGATTTTCTTTTCTTCATCTTTAGGCTTTTCGGCTTCTTGTTTCTCTTCCGATGAATCCGGTTTCTCGTCGGATGCTGGTTCCTCGGATGGTTTCGGCTCGGGCAACTTTTCCGATGATTCGTTACTTTCCTCGGAAGAATTGGATTCGGCGGAATCTTGGGACGGTACTTCGGGCAAGAGGGTTTCTGGCTGGTGCGCAGATTGATCTTGGGATGCTGCAGACTGATCTTGGATGACTAGAGGTATACTGGGTTTTTCTTCATTTTCTGCGAGAGGGTATGCCAACGCAGAGGCAACGAGAAGAAGTCCAATGATAATCTTCATTCTGAAACAAAAGTAGGTGATGTTTTAGAGGAAACTGAATCACTTGTCAGTTGAAAAATACTTTATAACAATTGAGCTGGACAGTTTCATTCGACTTGGAATGAATTCAAGAAGTGTTGGTCAGTACTTGGAAAATATTTTTTGATTTCATCAAGAACTTATTTACGGGCAGGTGTACTCTATTTCAATGACATGAATGTATACCGTTTATCAAACTAACAATCTGTATTATAGGGGTATTCCCATTGAATATTAATTTCTGAATGAATTATTTTTAAACAACTTTTTGTAAATACAGCAGATGTTCACCACTAATGAGTCGTTTGCAGAATGGAAAATGTAGATAGTTCTATTATATTGATAGTGAAGGAGCTTGCATTAATTGAAGTCATTTACCTTCAAAATAATTTTAAACTGTAACGTTTTTTACAAATATTTTATCTAATATTAGACATCCTTTAACCAGTTTTATAAATGTATTGTATCAATGCTCATCCATCATGTTGTGTCCAATATTTTACATAACCATCGTATGAAACATCCTCAAAAAGTTGTAAGTCTAACCATTCATAATTATATATTAATATTACTTACACCCTCAAATTGTAGCATCCCTTATGATGGAAACAATTTATTAAATTTCCGAAAGCTTGGTATGCGTATGAATTAAATTATATGCAACATATTATATTTTTAGTCGTATTTATATTTTTCGGAGGAACAAATTTGCTTCAATGAAGATGGTGATGATTTTAAATAAGAGTGAAATTCTTGGCACGTTTTGTTTATATTGACCTTCGTTATCAACATCGCCTTCAGAACTGATACCTGCAAGTGATTTTTTTCAGATGTCCAGAATTTATTTATTAAAGAAAATATTCTCTCTACTGGAGCATTTGTACCAGGTAGACATAAAATATATTCAATTAAAATACAATAATTTTCATGTTGGTGCGAAAGTTTGAATACTTCCACCAAACTTTTAACTTTTAAATTATTCCAGTCTGTAATTTTTTGTGGAGGTACGTAGTTTACAATTAATGAAAATTCGTCAAATACTTCTGTATCTTCAGTACTGTCTTTAATCTGCCCAATAAAATATCTCCATTTCTCTATCAAGAAAGTAAGTCCATTCTTCCAAATATTCACGACTTGTTATATAAAATTCTGTGTGTTCTTTTGATTAAATTACGAACAGTAAATGGAAGAAACTGATTGGTTTCTTTCTGAATCAAATTCTGAACGAATTGATTGCAGCGTCAATTGCCGAAACAGTTTGACCTCCAACCTTCAAAACAGTTTGCCGGAAACTTGCTGACTGAGCGTGTAAAAAACAAAACTCTTTCCAAAGCAGGCATCAGCGCAAGCCAGCGAGATTTGCTGTAGCCGAGCATTTGGTGATGTTCTATTTCAGCTTCAGCGCAAAATTCCTTTAGAGCTTTAACTCCAACCGTATAAATATAAAAAAATGAATATATTTTTACAATAATGCTTTCGTAATCTAAAGGTAGGCCGTCTGCAGCAGCTTTTATAGCATTGTGAATTATATGGGCTACACATCCGATACCTATCAACGGTTTTTTTAGAAATGATTTTAGAAAATGGGACTGTTTTACGTCCCAGATCATTATTTGGGAACAACGGGACAGATGGTCGAATAAAGGGGCAGTCCCGTTCAAAACGGGACGTCTGGTCACTTTAGTAATAACCATAATTAATATTTACAAATAATTTTCTGCACATCAATTAAAATTGAAATGATTCTGAAGGCGTTCCTCTCAATATATATATCTTGAAAATTTTAGGAGCATTTCGAGCCAATAAATAAATCCATCTCAAGTTTTTCATCAATATATGCAATAAACCTGTTGGGAGAATCACAGAGGGCAGTGTCAGTATTTCAGTTCTTCATGAAACCATTTAAAAACAAACCGTGAGCGAAAAAAAATCACTCAGTTTCCCATGTTTGATTCAAAAGGTACATAAATAAATTCAGCCACGTAGTTGAAAAAATAAACTCTCAATGAAAATATTCATCTGTTCTTCGACTGCCATTTATAAAAGCAGGTGTAACAGATTTTAAGCAAGTCTTTGACAGACACTGAATGAGTTCGACCGATAACCATCTCCATAAGAGAAAAAGTATTAACCGATTACATCGAAAGTAAAAGTAAACGCATAAAACAAATCCTGCAGCGTGCATTTTGTAATCTTGTAGATCCCAAGTTCAAGGCGAGTCGGAGACGTCCAACTGGTTAGGTCGAGCCAATGCAAACAAAAATAAAACAGCAGCTATAAATGCATAATACGAAAGTAAAAAGGTTCACAAACTAGTTTCTCTCCTCCCATCTCTATCCAGAGTCTAAAGTCAATAGAATTCGTTTTTCCTTTTTTGCTGTAAAGTGGACGAGACAGGATGATGTTTCGTTGCTGTGCCCTAAAAGGCGTGACAGATTCTTGAAATACGATTTGATGCTACCAAGTATTTGTAAGGAGACCGAATGGAAGTTACGATAGGACTGGAGAATATTCTCTTTGATACCATACACGGAACATATAGATTATCTACTTTGTTCAACGATGAAAACTCAGTTTAACAGTTTGACTTCTGGTGAAGCTACCAAAACTGGAGAATAACAAATATTAATTGTGAAACTTCTATAATCATCATGGAAAGTTGAATAAAATTAAATGTTAACTTGATGGTTGATGTTTTTTGCTGAATGTAAGAGGTTCAGCCTGTAATTATAATATTCTTTAACATAAGAGTAGAGCCACAAGTGAATCGAAATTTGCAGATAAGTCGGGAACAACATTTAGGAGAAAATTATAACAAATACACCATCACAGAGAAAAACAAGAATAGAGCTATGAAGAAAGAAATTAATATGATGAAAAAAGCACACTAAGTTATCTACTATCTTCATCGATTACTGACAGTAATAATGTTTCACCAACAATAATTTTCAAAGTATGTTTATGTGAAACCGTCAATAATCTATATTTTTAAGCAATATTGTTCTGAACGCACTGTTGGTTTTGAAAATTTGATCGCTTTCATTTAGTTATTTTATTTTCATGCAATAATGTCGAATTTTTACTTGGAAAATTAGGTGAGTCAGTCAATATTTATGCCATAGTTCATAATTGCAATATATTTATGTGATTCCTTTGTAAGAATTATCGTATATTGATCAATCTATTCATTATAGTACTTTTAGTTGATCAAACTGGCTTCGCTAGCTTTTGACTCAGTTTGAAATATTTACTAATGAACCTGCAAAATGTTAAAATTAACCTCAAACTTATTTGAATTGTTGGAAAATATACCTTTTTCGTTTGAAAAGTAACTTAAAAACAACCCTTCTGTTATCAATCATCAACAACAGAAGGTCTTCTGCTTCTTTGCTAGCAGAATCAGGAGCAAATATAACGGATATTAAGAAGCAAGGAGGATGGAAGTCTACAATAGTAGCTGAGGGTTACGTCGATCAATCTATTTTTTATGAAAAAGCTATTGCTAAAAGAATAATCCCAACATCTATCTCAGATAGTTCAAATATATTACAAGGTTCCTCACCATCACAAGGTATTAATATCAGCAGTTGTTCTCATTGTACTTTTCATATTAATGTTCATAAATAACAATAATAATGTAATTAATGTATATAGTACATTTGTTACATAATTTAATTGTATCTTTCTCTATTGTTCATAATAAAACTTCCTTGACAATTGAATAATTTTTTTTTATTGCTATTTGGTCGAAAAAATCGTGTTAAAAATTCTTTTAACACTAGTGTTAAAAATATTCTCAACACGCTACTTTGTAAACATCATCTTTTAATTGACAACCATTAAAAATGATACTTTCAATGACAGTTGTACAAAAAAGTGTTTAGGCTTGTAAATATCAAGGAGAACTTTATTTAAACCCTGTATATACGCCTACGGAAAAAAGGAAATAATGAAAACAAATAAACATTACGAAACGCAGCAATTTACATAACACAATAAAGCAGAGTGGAATGAGATTGTCATTCATAAATTTGAATGTAGTAAGCCTTGAAAAGACCGTTCGACAATGTCGAACAAAGAAATAAAAGAAAAAAATGCCAAAGAATAATTGCATTTTACCAAAGGCTAGTACTCGACTAAATCATCGTTTCCTGCCATTACCTCATTTAACTGCTTAATAGAAATAGGAGGCGATCAAAAAAGTTGAAGAAGTTTGACGACCTGCGTTAAAAATGCCCCCTGTCGGCTGTATTCAATTAAAAGTTTGTTGTCCTCTGATCTTGATTCCGAACTAGCTGTTATAACTGTGTATTTATTGAAATGAATGCCGCCTGATTGAAAAAATCTAGCGCGTAGTTTATCGACATTTATAATTAACAATTCTCGGTCTTATAATTTTTTCAATGGAACTCATCTTGAGTTTTCTTCGGGCTATGTGTTATTAAAAAAATGTTAATTTGACTTCGTAATGCTTCACCGCACAAACAATTATGGCTTATCCTTAACGGTTCTAATGATTGGGTATATAAAAGTTTTGATTTGGTTCTGAGTTCGGTACAATTCAATCATGCGCAGTTATTGAAATTTCTTCTGATTCATTCCAATTCGCACATACTCACTAATATCTTCACTTCGTGTTGCGTATGAATGCCAAATTCTTTTGTGTACATAACCTCATTCTTGATCCTCATTTCATCTACAAATTCATCACTTGTAATTACTTGTGATGTACTGTTTGGAACCTTTGGTGTGGTAATGAATTAATGATACACACAAAGCTATCCCTATTGATCTTCATCTTGAAGATGATCACTTGGTGATCGAAACATGTGTCGAGGTGTTAAAATAACGGTTTGGTGTTGGGAAAAAACTCCAGTAATATTCTGGAATTACAATTACAAAAGAAACAACTAGGAAGAAATAAATGACAACGCCTCAACTAGATAATCATGGTTTTTTGACTTCAGTTTTTTCTTTGTGGGAACTGTTGTATGAAACCGTTCTCTAACTGCTCTAAATACATGACAAAAACAAACCTATACACTTATTTAAATTCATGGAAGTGGCACTACTTATAATTTGACATTTTTAAAGTAATATAATCTTCTGGAATGTTTTGTCGCACGAACACTCTGAGTGGATAATTTCACTGCAGACATACGAGTAAATGTGATTTTTTATTAAATTTTCCTGGACTGATTTCTATATTAACTTTTGGCTGGATTATCTCAGTTATAGTTCTTCTATTGGTCCATTATCATCGTTTGAAAAACGTCACTTGAAACTATAGTTCATAGTCGTCCAAAGTCGGTTTCTGTTTTGAAAACATCAGCACTAGTATGACCATGACCAAATATCTAAGACAATCATTGGCAATAGAAATTGGTTGTTTTTTATCGGATATCGTATAATTGACAATGTGAACACCCACACATGAGGGGTTACATATAATTGAAGATTTAACATTTCTAAAACTTTAACTAAGGGTTAGGTTCAAAGTGAGTAGGTCAGGACTCTGCAAAACAATCGGAATTTGGTGACAAATGGTTTCGTTTCCGTTAACAGTTCACCATACTTTTTTCCATTATGAACATGAAGGAAAATTGTTTTGATAACGTTTAAGAATTCTGTTGGTTCTAAAAATTACTAGAGTTTTTGTAGTTTATTAATAAATTTATAAGATGCGACTGGTAAATTATAAAATATAAACTGAAAAACATAGCGTGGGTTTATTTTTCGTATTTTTTCCAACAGTAAGATAATATGCGAGACATTCTGCTAAAAAAAGGAAACCCATTTTGACACCAATATATATCGAGATCAAGATCAAGATTCAAATAGAGAATGAAATATTTTCGGTGTTGGAAATGTAATTCTATAAAATAAAATCAAATGAGTTTATTTTTGTATCGAAAGCTCAAGATGGATGCCAGAAAAATCATTATTATAAACTGAATTTCGACTGTTTAATTATTTCACATATTTCTTTATCTACTGCAATCTTCAATTTGACTTTTCGAATATTGAATTCTCAAGTAAAATAAGTGTTCATTCATTTTGAACAAGATGAAACCCCAATATAAAAAGGAATTGTGATATAAATGATGGAAATTTCAAGAATTACTCGTGAAACAGACAAAAATATCAAGATTTTTATTCGATATCCAGTCAGTTAGTTCGTTGAAGAAAAAATCGCAACTGAAATTTAGTATTATTCATGAAATAATTGAAGTCAGTGTTTTCAAAATTTAGTATTATTTCATCAGAAAATGAAAAAGATACTATAATGGTACAAATACTCAAATAAATATAAGAATTGTTTCAGCCAGTTCAAAATTTGAAAAATAAATGTCCTAAATATTTTACCACATCAAAAAAGTTAATTTCCACACCGTATATCGCCACTCTACCTAACTAACAAAAAAAAAGTGTACAACCCACCTTGAAGTTTTATAAACTGACACCGTGTTAGAAGCAAGATGACCAACACTATACACTGGACACTAAAATGTAAAGAACTACGGAGGTGGTCAGATTTATAGTTGTCTCCCCTCTACCCGGTGTCGCTATCTCTGGAAGGTGCATCTTCTTGTAAAATAATGTTATCAAGCCCAGAATTGCAAACTTTTGTTACCGACTCCTTTGTCTTGTCTGTCTCCGTTTTGCGGCTTTTCTAACGGTCAAAACTTGTAGAAAAATAGTCTACTCTTCCACATTTTTGCGTTTATTGTCGCAGTTTCACCTTTATTTTATTTCACTTACTGTGAAACCTAGTGAAAAACGTTAGTGAATTTCAAGAAAACTTATCAGGATACACAGGTTTTAGACGTTATAGAAATATACAACAAAATAGTGATAAATAATTAGTGACGAATCAAAACAGATTTTCTAAGACGTGGAACTTATAATAAAAAAAGGATTGTTGTTTGGTATCCACCTCAGATAACTTAATTATAAAGAGTGTGCATTATAAAGTTATCAGTGGAGGGAGTTGAAAGATAACTGTTGAAAAATAATTTTTGGATTGAATGAAAACTTACCAACGAACTAGACTTTTTAGCAATCAAATGTGTAATTTATAAGTGACAGAGTTCTTCATTTAATTGATCAATTGAACTATAATGTATATTCAAAATCAAGTTGTGAATTATCAAGATGAAAAATAGTTCTAAACTATAATTTTCTCTTACTGGTTTATTAATTCTGATAAACTTTCATTTGAAAATAATTTTTCATTTTTTTTTACAGAAGGTATAGCATACTGAGTACGCAAAAAAATGCTGATATCAACTATAGTCCTCGATGTTTGAAGATTTGTGTTGATAGAAACAAAAATAATCATCGCTGAACTTTTATTATTTCAGTAACAATCAAAATGTAATTTATGATTCAGTTATAAGTGACTAAAATCTTGGACAAGTCATAAAATTGGGGCCAATTCTGTTCCTGTTCTATATTCATTTTTTGGATAGATACACTTTCTATACCTGCATCGTTCACAATGTACGCTAATGATACGTCGTTAATCATATCTGAAAAATGGACCCTTCCTTGCGTGATAAATGAAATGAAGTGTTGACTTCATTGAATGAATGATTTTCAGCAAATTTCTTGTTTTTTAATACTTAGAAAACGCAAGCACTGAGGTTCCACCATATCCAAAAAGAATGTAAATGAGTTGTCATTCCAATCAAACGAATCGGGTCCACAGATCTCAACTAGTTCGGATCAAACAATTTTTTTAGGATTATGAATAGAGACAAATCTCAATTGGAAGGCTCACTCCCACTACCTAATCTCAAAGTTGAATTCGATTCCCTTTTAATTTAGAAATTTGCAGCATGTACTCAATATTGATCAATTGATACAGCTCTACTATGCACAAATTGAGAGTAGGTATGATATTTTGGGGTTTATCTACCCTAGCAAAAGATATCTTCGTGGCACAAAAACGAATTTTACGATCAATGATGGGGCTTTTACAGACTGATTCATTCAAAGATATATTCAAGAAAATAAAAATATTAACATTACCATGTTCAGTCATATCAGTGTTGAGTATGCTAGTATTCGACAATAATGATGAAATTAATGTGAGGAACGAACAAAATCATAGATTCAATACAACACAAAAGAATGATTTTTCAATTCCATTTGGAAAATTCAAAATAACTCACCAATCTCCCAGTCATATGGCTTCTAGAATATACAATGCTCTTCCTTCAAATGTGAGAAACTGCTTGACAAAACAATCATTCAAACATAATTTAAAATCCTTTTTGACAGAACAGTGTTTCTATAAACTGGATGAATATTTGTTGTGGCAATTTGCGGTGAAATAATTTTTGGTGAAATAAATTTTTTAGTATTAGTATTATTGTATTTTAAATGTAAACAAGTGACTTTTTCCATATGGTTTGTAACTGTCTTAAGGAAATAAATTACTATCATTATTATTAATTGGAAACAAAATTTGTAATATATTTCTTTATCGTTATTTGTTTTGGTATGAAAACTTTTCATGAACACTAAGCAAAATGGTACCTCTGCATTTCTGATATATTGTCTAGATTTATATTGTTGGGCCCTGATCATATATTTATTTTAGGAATTAAATTATTATTTTGTTCGATTAATGACACATTTACTTTCTGGAAATTCATATTAAATATAGGATAGAGAAAATTACTTTGTTCTAATTTCTACTAAGATTTTCATTTGTTAGGACCGGTTTCGGTTTTTCAAACCAGTTTATTTGAGAATGGTTTAATAAACCAAAAGTTGTTTTGTCTATCTTATATGAAACTATTATTGTTTAAATGTTGTGACCTTTAACTTCTTGTAGAGTTTTATCATGATTGCCAGGAAGGTAGAACATAGAATAGTCAGCTGTATGGACTATAATTTCAATAGTTTTGAACTCCAGTTTAATACATATGCTCTTTCTGCCGAATGGAAATTTTGTTAAATTCGACCTTTTGGATTTCTTACAAAAATTTATATTTTTTAAGACTGTATACGGTCTCATGAGTTTTCTACCTGTCTCAAATAACTACTATCATTCTTCAATATTGTAATTTTTAAATTGAAACAAATTAAATGACAAGAAGTCACTTTCTATATTTCAATGTTTCGAAATGTATGGGAAAAACCTTCTCGTTTAGATTTCTTCTTACCATATTTCAATAGCAAAAATGAAAAATTTCGAATGAAGAAAGAAACATTTAGAAAATAGCAACAAGAACCTTTTGGAGAGATGTTTTACCATAAAAAGTTGATTCCTTCAGTACAAACTGAAAGAAAAAGCAAAATTTCTAAGAGTATTGAATTTCAGAGAAGATATTTTCTTTTTTTAAATTTTTTCACAAAACATTTGTATTGACAATTCAAACAGCCATACCAAAACATGAATAAATGAATGAAGATTAATATGAAATTAAACGCAAAACAAACACTTCCTATCTCTTTATGTATCTATAATTCAGTGGAAAATTACAGAGTTCCGATTCTCATCATCTTCATTTTCAATATTCTGTGTGAAGTTATTGCATTTATAAGGAGATATACTTTTTGGAAAAATACTTCTTTGAATCATTTTCTCCAATAATGTAGGTATACAAAATAGACACTTTCATGTACGTACTAATCAATTTCAGACTCGAAGATGATTAAAAAACATCAACTTCATTATTTCAGTTTTTTTTTATATTCATTTGTTTCGAAATTGAAGACTGTTTTGAAATCATCAATTATCTTTTTCAATCAGAGATGGCCATGAAAATTAAATGGAATCATTTATAAACATGAATAAAACAATAGAGAATCTATGTGAGTGTAGTAAACTAAAAAGTTTACTTCCAACAGTTACTGCGTAATATTAACGTCTTCAGAAAAATTTGAATTCATCGGTTCAGCACTGCAAACCAATTTCGATTTATTCCCACAGGTTTTTTCGAAATATGTACACTTTTTTGTCTTTTTCGCGTGATTCTCTGGTGATGATTTTTATTTGATCCCATTTCAGTTGTTCTTAAAACGTGTTAACGCTAGCTCTGATATTGTTACTTATATTTTTTGTCAGGTATCAGTCATATTTCGACCAACTCCAGGAAAATGAGTCAGGTTGTTTGGGCTACGGAAAGATGATTTTTTCAAAATTCCGCAAGGATTTGAAGCTTTATAACTCCTATTTAATTATATGCCAGCGCTTTCGACAGCTGGTCGTGCTGTCATCATCTACTAGGCTCTACTCAAGTAGAGCCTAGATGTAATCATGTTTCCAAAGAAGGTCATAAAATGGACTACAATTCAACAAAAATTTTATCAACTGAAAGAAATACATCTAAAAGATTGTTTTTGGAAATGTCATTTTTTACAATCCAATAATTGTCTTAATAAAAGATCAGAAATTGATCACCTCAGTGAAATCTATGCCTTTTTATTAGACATTGACAAAAATCTACATGATTTCATAACATTTTAAATATTTTCTCTTTTAACAAACTTCCAACCTCCCTATGGCAGGGTTTTACTTTCATTTAACACCTTTTCACTTGTTTTCCTCAAGACTAATGAGGGTGTTGTCAATTAATTAACATATTTGATTTTCGGGTTTTCTCATTGAGTTACTTACAGAACAACAGATGTCTCTGATCACACTTGCACCATAATAGTTCTCCTTTGTTCCATAGTTTTATCATCTACAAACAAACACACCTTTTCAAACTGAATTACATGACAGCTGTCATTGTCAATTGTTTCGTCTCTCTCTCTTTGTTCTTCAACCACATGACTTTTATCGGTAATCCATAATTTTACACAAATAATGATATTTAGTAAATTTTTATTCAATATTCTTCTTTGTATCTAGTGAGGAGTCAACCTCTTTTAATGTAATGACTGGTTTATTGTATTGACATGTTTCAATTGTTTAAATGTAACATTCTTTTCGACACGGCCAACCTACACAACCAACACTAACATAATAATAATTTTTTATATTGTATCACCATTATACAAATTTTGTAGCTTTTCCCTGAAGATGATAATACATTTTATTGAAATATTGGAATAATTTGTGTTATAAGAGTACACTTCTGCTGATCACCCAAAGATAATTTACAAGTTTTGTTCTTAACTAGTCAGCAAAGACTGTCCTTCACCTATATAATTAAAAACAATAGATGATAGCCAATAATGTCCCAAATAATTCCACATAACAATACAATTTGTATTCTATTACTTTTGTTCAAATTCTTTAAGTGCTCTTTCAAAATGTTAGAAAATGGATATTTCTTTTATTTCTTCCAGTAATTCATTGAACTCGTGGAAGCCCTTGAAATATAACGAGTTCATGGTACTTCCGAATGCCGGTCTGTTTATATGGATATTATTGGAATTTCTTGTATTATAATTATTACTCTCATCCCTCGAATTTGTAGTTTTTGTAGCATATTTAATTTATTGAGGTTAAATATAAATAATAATGACGAACAGTAATCAAAATGTGGTTGAATAATGGTATTATAAAGTGTTACTTCGG